AACTTAATGAAAACCTTTTAATAAGATCAAACTATTATTTAAGTAATTGGTAACATTGAGTGGGTAGAACTTCCTATTGAACTACCTTTACATATTCTCAAGGGAAATATTGAAAAAAAATTCAGTGATGATCATTAATAAAGTTGAAAACTTCCTTAATCTGTGAAAAAAAAACATTTCACGTAATCTCCTAATCATTCTACTATTTTCATACTACTAATATCAAATGCTGTTGACTAAACAAATATATGTAAAATACATATGGGTATTAATTGAATCTAGATAATTCTTGTATTGTACCATTATTCACCCTATCCAACTGGATTTTAACCATGTCGGAAGCGAAACAATTACCCGTCAATCATATTGCAATATAATCTTATGAAATATCATTGAATGATTAAAGTTAGTTATGCAAACTATCAGTTACCAGATCAATATTCTAAGGGTTTTTACTCCTTGAAAGACCCAATTGTCCTGAATTTGATCTCCGGCAAGATTTTCGATGTTTTTTCCTACTGTGAAGCCTCATACAAGAATAAGATACCTATCCAACAATTTCTGGTTTTCAATATTCAGTTATTTCATAATGAAAACAACATAGAAAACTCTATACTACAATCACTTTAACATTCTGTTAAACTAATATGGAAACAAAAAGTTTTTATGCTGATTTCCCATTAACTGAAAAAGTCATATGAATTTATTTCCTGATAAAAAAGAAATCAGTCCTAAATAATTCATACAGTTATTTAGTCTTTTTTAACTGTCTAAAACTAAGATTTTTTTTTAAAAAAAAAGACAGATGGTTACACCACCTAATCACATAGATCAAGACAAACTATGTACAATAAATAGTGATATCAAGGGATAACAAATATTGATGTGAACTATTTAGAAAGTAAAAAAGAAGAAAAAGAAACATCTACAAATTATTGATTGATCAAGTTTCATAAAAACAGAATAGAAAGAATAATTCTATGAAATGCAACATACTAGATGTAGTATATTCAAAGTATTTCCAATAGGATATTTTAAATGTGGGCTATTGACTTACTAATTGAAATGACCAATTAGATTGATCTACTTTTAGGATAAATTCTCAAATATAAACCATACATAATAGGTTGATAGAATCTTCTCGTTTTTATATCATCATATATTGGTCATCCTTTTTATGTCACTTTTGTGAGATTCTTTAATATGAATTAGTTTCCGTCCGTTTTACGGATAATCCATCTAGTCAATTTTTAATAATAATTTAGGTGAAACTATAATTTATGGATGATCTTTGAACGACGCTAAAATGACCTTCAGAGTGCCCACCTAATAAATAGGGCCAAAAGAGGGCTATAAACCTATGTGAGGTATTAGAATTATGATTTAGAGTTGATGGTTAAGGTTAGGTATTAGATCTAGGGTTTTCATCACGAGCCGACATTAACTAAAATGCCTTTCTCTATGCAGCCAAATGGATGATTGATTATCGCGTGATTGGTTCGCCCACAAATTTTTGTCTCACCATAATTTGTATCCTGATTGAGTTAATGGCCTAATCTAAGTTTATCTTTTAGTCTGGTCCAACCAATTTACTGATTTTAATACCATTAAAATTTATTCAGTCCACTAAAACCATCGTAGATTCTTGTTAAATATCGAGCAGATTTCCTAGTTCGAAATACGAGAATTGAAGATATTTGGATTATTTTCGAAAAGGATTTGTATTCCTAATAAAGTGTATACCAAAAAAGTGTCGAGGCGTTTCAACTAAGTTATGGGGTCTATAATGACGCATTTAATGTAGAAAATAAATTATAATCCACTCCAATAGCCAAATGTAAATTTGTGTGGGTGGACATTCGGTTATCCATCTTTTGTAAAGGTTAAAGATAGGTTGGCTATCCAAACAACAAGTAGTAGATCATGTGACAAATTTACAATCAATCTTTAAAGATTGAATCTTCTAAACGTACATAAAAGAGTGCTTGATATGTAAAATGCCAGACGATTCATATTAAAATCTATACAAAATAACAGTAAATTATCTTGACTTATTAAGTCAACTTACAGAATTGAATGAAAATATATGTCATAATAAATTAAACTTCAATAGTTGAGATCATGAGTCAATTGATGCTAAACCAACATGAAAAACCTACAAGCACTGGACGACCGTTTCATCCTATTGTGGGACTCCTCAGCAGTGTGCGTCCACGATCCCGCCTCGCGAGATTCACAATCTAGCACTTAACCACCAGACCACTGAGATAGTCGGCATTCAATGGTGTTAATATCTAACTCCAGCTAATCCACGAAATTGAGTGACACATCCACCATTGTCATCAGTGAGTTACTCACTCACAACTGACCCGGTTGAACTTTACTGTATTTATTTATTTATTTATTTGAACACATTAATATTGGTACAGAAGAGAGCCAATGTATATGCGCCACACAAAACAATGAGAATTCGAAGAGAAATATAAAAAAACTAAGGAGCGCAAAAAGAAAAAGAGAACAATAACGAAGAGATTGGTGTAAGGTAGTGTGGTAGTAACGAGGGGACGGAAAGGTACAATCAGAAGAAATCTTTCAGGTAAGGGAGACACAACCACTTTTTATGAAGAAAGTAAAAGAAGGTTACAGCAGGATCGCCAGTGGCTTCTATTCTGAGCCATATCTGATAACGTCTCTAGCCACTGTGTAGCACCATCTCTCGGACCCCAACCAGGGAGCCGTGAAGGACCGACAGAAGCCAGTCCTTTGCAGCTTTCTTTCATGCCACGATACCATGTCATGCACTGACCACCTCTCCGCTTTTTCCAACCAGTCCCAGAGTCGGCAAATAATGCACGACGTGGAATTCTCTGAGATGACATTCGTAGAACATGTCCAAGCCACCGAAGTCGGTGTTTCAAGATGGTGACACCAATTGAATTATCATCTCTGTGCCCGAACACACGATGCCGAACCTCTGCATTACTAACATGGTGTTGCCACTGGATGTCAGTAATCCTTCGGAGACAGTGATGATCGAACACAGAGTCGTCTAACATCCTCAACTCGGAGAAGCCAGGTTTCACAAGCATAGAGCAAAACTGCTCTCACCGACGCGTTGTAGATCCGAACTTTTACAGCCAGACAGACATCACGAAGGCGCCAAAGGTGGCCCGGATTGGCATAAGCCCCTCTAGCTTTCACTATACGTGCATTGATCTCATCACTCACACCCCCACTAGCACTTATGCAGCCACCCAGATACACGAACTTCTCGACTACTTCTATCTGCTCACCATCCAGGGTGAGTACAGGATTGGAATCCTGCCAGTCTTGTAGAAGTACTTTGCACTTCGAAGGTGCAAAGCACATACCATACCTACGGACACTGATTGCCAACTGATTAAGTGCGGATTGCATGCCTTGGGCATTATCGCACAGTAAGACAATATCATCCGCATACTCAAGGTCGAGAAGTCTTTCTCCAGGCAACAGATCCACACCACCATTACTTACATTCATCAGAGCTGTTTCCAGAATGTCATCGATGGCAAAGTTGAAGAGGAATGGTGAGATTGGGCAACCCTGCCTAACCCCACTGCTCGAATGGAACAATGGAGAGAGGTGGTTGTATGCCCTCACTCTGCCTGAGGTGTATTTATACAGGGCTTTTAGGATGTTAATAAACTTCTCAGGCACACCCTTCTTCAATAGACAATCCCAGAGAACAGTCCTGTCCAACGAATCGAAGGCAGCCCTGATGTCAAGAAACACTACGATTGTTGGCCTTTGAAAAGTATGGCGGTGTTCTAACATTTGGCGGAGGGTGAAGATGTGATCAATACATCCTCGACCAGAACGAAACCCAGCCTGCTCCTCGCGAGTCAATCTTTCTCGGGTTTTGAACAACCTACGAAGTATGACGGAAGCCAATAGCTTGGACGCAATCAGAAGTAGACTTATCCCCCGATAGTTGTTACAGGAACGATGTGAACCCTTTATGAAGATAGGGACAACTGTCGACTCAGTCCATGACGTTGGTACACTCTCTAGTTCCCAAACCTTTGTAAACAACGTCGTCAATTCCAGTTGAACTGCCCTTCGAAAAATTCTGCCCATCGTCCAAGACGTTGATGGATGTTAGTGATTGGCATCCCATCATCCTCGCAGATTGTTTCACTCACACCAGACTTCTTGCTGCCAGTGGCTCGGATGAGTTGGAAGAGCTTCCGGTAGTTAGCAGATGCAGCTGCTGCTTCCAGCTCATTAGCACGCATCGACCACCAGGCTTCTCGGTCCTTACGCAAGCTTTGCCCAATTTACTTACGTAACATCCTTCGTTTATGGTCAAACTCACAGTCACCCGGAGTAGACCGACGGGCTTCAATGAGTTGTAAGGAACCAGAAGAAACCCAGTGCTTAAAAGCGGGACGTTTCGCAAACCCACAACTGACTGTACCCGCCATTTTCATAGCGTCATGCAATTGCAACCAATGCTCATCTATACTTTTCGGTGGAGTGGTAGCTAGCCTAGAGGCTAGCTCGGTTCGATACTTACTTGCAACAGAAGTTGCAACCAGATTGTTAACATCAATCCGTTGGTGGCGGTCACTTCGTTGGCCACTGAAAAGTAAGGCAAGATTGGCGCAGACCAAGGCATGGTCAGAGTCCAGATAGGTACTCCAAAAGGAGCGGCAGTCTTGTACACAACCACGCCAGCGGTAGCTGATCGCGATGTGATCAATCTGAGTCCAGGCTTGAGATGCAGAGGGAGGACGCCAGGTGGCACATCGGCGATGACTGTGCCGAAAGTTAGTGCTAGCCAGAAACAGGTTGTGGTCTGTGCAATGTTGCAGTAGACGGTCCCCGTTATCTGTCCTGCGACCAACAAGTCCCTATCGGCCACCTAAACGACTCTCTTCTGTGCCTAGACGCCCGACCTGAACATTCAAGTCTCCGGCTAATACTACAATATCTGTCGAACGCACTTTCTGGAGAAGAACAGATAACTGGTGGTAAAACTCATCCTTGATTTCATCCGGGCTGCAATCTGTCGGGGCATAGGAGGAGATGACGAAAAGACATCGTTTCTCACTCCGATTTCTTCTCACTTTGATGGAACTTTCCAATCTAACAGCACATAACCGACTGTTAATGGGGATCCAATCGACTAGTGCTGCCTCAGCTCTAGCGCTCAGTGCAACGCCAACACCAGCAAGACCAGCCGAAGATGCCACAGGGTCCCCGGATAAACGCACGTAAAACAAGCTTTTCGAAGCGACAGATGGAGAGCGAATTTGTAGTACTTCGCCAGAGTCTTGAATACTGGTCTCGGATAGACAACAAACATCAATATTAAGACTTTCCAAAGACATGGCCAGCCCTATCTGTTGTCCGACCTGCATAAGTGTGCGAACGTTGAAGGCAGCCAGTTTGAATGGTGCACGTGGTTTCAGAAAAACTGCTTCAGTTCTCGTATTCGGTGGTAACATACAATTTTCAACCGGACAGTGACTCGAGAACGTTTAGATACAGTCGAATTTCCACCAAGGACGAGTCGCTGTATGAGTATAAAAGAGGGTGGATAATGTGGAAAATAATAATAATAATAATAATAATAATAATAATAATAATAATAATGACAATAATATTAATAATAATAATAGTATTAATAATGACAATAATTGTAATGATAATAATTTGAATCAATTGATTGTTTTTCGAAGTGAGAAAAGTAATTTCCATAGACATAAGGAGTTCATCATTTGTGTGTGGGCTGTGATACTGCCCGGATGCCCAAACCGAAGCAGGTGGTCATTTTAGGGGGCCACACCCCGAGCCTTTGACCTAAAGGTCTAATCCACAAGGCAGAGGAGCATCGTAAGGAGATGCAATCCCATGGTAGCCGGTGACCAACGATTGGTTCATACGCCATTTGTTCCCGCAGGATACTGGAGCCCATGTGTACCATTGGTTTGTGATCCGGTTAAAGCGCCGGACATTCGCTTTTCGTTTTCTCATTTTCGTAAACAACACCCCCGCCACAAGAAGGCAATGAGTAGGACTTCCCTGTCAGAGGCTGTATACGCGCGGCCGTGTGAGAGTATTTCGAGAGGGAGAGCGGACTCTCCCCACTCTCGGCCGTACCAGGGTATTCGGGGGCACATCCCAGCAGTAATGTTTTCCGTAGATTTAGTCAAACTGTTATCATATTTCAGTAGTTGAGATCATGAGTCAATTGAAGCTAGATCACCACGGAAAACCTGGAAGCAGTGGACGACCGTTTTATCCTATTGTGGGACTCCAGCAGTGCGCATCCACGATCTCGCTTCGCGGGATTCGATCACATTACTTATCAGTCTCGCGTGCGAGCGCCTAACCAGTAGACCACTGAGATAGCCGGCATCCAACGGTGTTAATGTCTAACTTCAACCAATCCACAAAACTGAGCGACACATTCACCATTGTCATCAATGAGTTACTATCTCACAACCGACCCGGTTGAACTTCACTGGTCATTGCTTCCCACTAGAACTCCAGGATATACCTCTTGAAGCCAGTCACTAGTTAGCATATGTTGATTGATATCAGAAAGAGTTTTTGTGGATATCATAGTAATTTCAATAGTTGATATCATGAGATCGATATGTCCTGGGTTCGAATCTCATGAGGCGAGGTTGTGGATGCGCACTGCTGAGGAGTCCCATAATAGGACGAAACAGCCGTCAAACAGTGCTTCCAGGTTTTTCATGGTGGTCTAGCTTCAACTGACTTATAATCCCAACGATTGAAATAACTTTAATATCCACAAAAACCACTTCTGATATTGGTGAATTAAACGTCTATTTATCAACTCGACTGTTTTATCGATTGATAATTTTGTTTGTTTGTTTGTTTTCCTTTTGATTTTGCACACTTTTTTTTAGACATTTCAATAAATATTAAAGTCAAATGAAATTCTTGTTTATCTAAATGAAATTCATTTAGTTAGTTACATAATTTGACATTCAGAAAAGAACCTTCTATACAATCACATTTTGTCTAAAATTAATCGATATATTTCATATGATGATGTTCAACTAACAGAAAATCAATCAATTATTTATGTTTATTTCAGTTGTGTTTTTTTAACAACTACACCATGCATTGAAAATGTTTTATGAACATTTGGGATTGTTTACTTGAATCTTCTCACTGATGTTTACGACTGTAATTGATCAGTCTCTTATTGGCATCTGTGCACACTGTGCATATTGCCTCGATATTGTCTTAATTCACAAGTATTATTAGAAAACATAAATAGTGGATAGCAGTGGAATCTAGGACACGCGTTTCGTCCTATTTAAAACTCGTCAGTTCGATGTACCTGTTCGATAAACAGATTTTTTAGGAAATTAAATGATAATTCACAGTGTACACATGTAAAATACCATTTTATTATCATTATAAAAGAAATGAACAGATACTATGGAAATGTCATCTTGGATAACTAACAGAATTGATCAATGATCATGATAAAATATCAAAATGCTTACTATGAATTTATGCTATTCTGTATGATTCATTTTAATATGTCCAACTGAAAAGGACCATGTTTATTATTTTATCTTTAAAAGTGAAGAATATTAGGTTAAAATAATATTTGAGATGGTGGAGAATATTTGTAGCTCAGGTGGATGATTTTGGTGGAGTTTTGTTCTCTGAGCTGGATGGCACGACCAAACCATCCAGCTCAGAGAACAAAACTCCACTAAAATAATATTTGCAAGTATTCAGAAAATTAACAAACGTACAAGCAATTATGTAAAACTTTATTATGCTTTGCAGTCCATCTGTATACAATATATAATAAGGTCTGTTTTTTACATCTGCTATTAAATAGAGGTTAAATGTTCGCGCGCGTAATCAAACGTCCAGGGTTTGAGTCTCATGTGCGAGACCTTGGATGCTTTACAGCTATGGAGTCCCATACTAGGACGAAAAAGCCGTCCAGTGCTTCCAGGTTTTCACTGATGATCTAACATCAATCACTTCACGATCTCAATAAAAACTCAGTGATCTCCGCAATTCTATACTGATAATACGTTTACCGTTTTTTAAAGCCGCAAATTTCAACTCCTTTCTCAAGTACTTATTTTCAGTCATATGTAATAAACGATAAATGTTTAGCAAGGCATATAACATATATTAATTCTAACCTATGTCGACGTTTTATGACTGATTACTATTGACTGGAACATTACTATTTGAAGTAATAAGAAATCAAACGAAAAATACCATGCATGCAAATCCAGCTAACGAAGCTCGTAAGGGACAAAAGGCGCGTCCTGGATTTCATTGTAGGCCATCATTTATCTCTGCCTGAAACTGTTTGTAACTTAATGATGATATCAAGGCTCCCTATACAGGACCACATATGTTAAAAGAGACTGATCGATTGCAATCACAAACATCATTGAGAGGATTCAAAAAAAAATAAACGTAAACCAAAAATACAAGTAGATATCATATAGAACTAATTAATTAATTATTTTAAAGCGTTCCCTTTGATTATGTTTATATTTACGTTTAAACATAAGTGTTTACAGACATTCTATTACTTCCCATTATACCAGTAACTTACATTAACTCGATTAGCATTATTCTTATACAAAATCCAGGAATAACACAGATCTTGTATAAGATAGTAGATCTTATTCGACGCTACGTCTATTTTAACTAGTAAAAAATATTTAAATCTTTTCCACAATCAACTTATAACTTTCAACTGCGTTATTCAGTTGGGTGACTTACAATAACTATTTAAATTCGAAGATTGTTTCTGTCACTGACTTAGATCTACTAATTTATCATCTATTGATTTGTACGCTTTAATCTTCAACGGTGACGAATAATGGTTGTACTATATTATGAAATGACTAAAGTTTCTACCTTGTTGCATCTGATTATCTCTCTAAAAGAAATCTTATTTGCTGTGAAACGTGAAAATTATTGCTACTAATCTTTGACGAAAGTTGAACGTTATCAAAATAATAAAAGTACATGGATTATTACTAGCAGTGAAGACCACTAGTGGCGATTTGTCATCATATTATCTGACTCATAGTTCAGTTAATGTTAGTCCATGACGAAAATCCCCTTCACATTATAATGTTAGTTTAGCTTATGTTAACAAGACGGCATCTTATCATAAAACACTTTCGGAAGACTTATACAAAATAAAATTTTTAAAACGTAAATATGATATTTTGGCAATATAAAATACTTACAAAAGCAATAAAAGGGACTGTGAATATTATAATTAATAAATATAACGTATCGTAAAGCAAATACTTCTACTGGTGGTATGTTCTCTGGTTTGAAGTTTTTAGTGGAGATTTTCAGCCATTCTGAATTAGCTCATCAGCATTGGATGACCTAAGTTATTAACCAAGATCAGATTGTAATACCGTATCCTATCTATTCAGTTACTGAGTAACGTACTCTCAAATTTTACCTGTTGCTGAAGATATAATGAAATCTTCGATCCAAGTAACGTGTATCATGAACTTTAGTTTGCTTACTATTATTATTGATTGGGCTATTCCATTCGTTGGCATTGATGTAATCAATGAAAAATACGATACACCTAACAAAATTCAACCCACACATCCATTGAATCAAGAGGGCCAACTTGTAAAACGACAGGTTTATCATACGAGTGAATAAAAATCAGTTTAATTTAATTTAGGAGTTAATTTACACCGCTTAAATATTTTAAACCTCATAATACCTTATCATTCAATATAATGACTGACTATGTTTCAACAGTTTTCAATATTGTTGACTGGATAGAAAGTCGACTAGAACTGACTTGATAATAGGGATGAATGACACTTGATACGAGGTCATTGGGGTTTGATCCTTCTGAAACATTTTCATCAAATTTATTGAAAATCTCATTAGTAGATGGTGGATCGCTAGGATAATCAGCATCTATCAAAATTTCATTAGGTTCTTGATCATCATTTGATACATTCAACATATTTTTTCACATTTTTGTAAGAAATTTGATCAAAAACATATGATTCATTAAGATAACTCATATCTAGTAAAACAACTAGAGAATCCCGGTATGTATATTCATCAGAAACTTTTGTCGTAAAATGATGAAATCCATATGATTCAAATGTCTTCATTATGCTGCTTGATTCATTTTCTGTTTCTTCGTGTGTGGGTACTGCAACAATTTCATGAGCATTTAACAAAACCCCGTCTTTTTGTGAGCTAGACAACTCACTGCTTGTAAATTGTATTTCTGCGATAATGGGATTCGAACCAACAGCAGAACATGTTTCTGAAATGGACATTCTTGAACCGATGGGTGGATCATATATGATTGTTACTGTTTCGTTTAAAACACTGCTGTTGTCGTTGAAATAGCAACTGCAATTAATCGGAAGAGAAAGCCATTTTCTATTTCTGTATGAATCAGCATGGTAATAGAAAATAATATACGAAAAATTTACAACTAATATCGTTCAAGGACGCCGACGACAATTCTGTATGCTGATTGTTTTGGTCCTTTTTTCACCCTATCGCCACTGATATGTCTTCTCGATTGAACACTACTTGTTATATCTGGTCGTCACTGTTTGTTATGTCGGAACCACTTATCACTTATACTCGAAAAACGAGGAACCATTGCAATATTTGCATAAAATGATTTTATCCCATAAAAATGGATATATTTCTTGTGCAATATGTTGGATTTGTTAATCGAAATATCAGTTAACATAGTTTATTAACATTTTACAATACAGTCCCCCAGTTACATACATTAACATACATCGTAATAATACTGATAATCTAATACTGAATGAATTAGTTATTATTTTACTGAAATAGCAGTATTGTTGAGCAATTTATAACCCATCAATTATGTTTGACATTTTAATGAAGTAATAATTAATGGATTGCTGTCTGTTTGTCTGTTTTTTCTTCTTTAAAACTGACACCGCAAAATATATTTAGTTAAATCATCATAACATACTTGAAAATAGCAATGATTTGAATAATTTATCATCATTATTCCACATAATATTACTTAAACTTGAAATAGATTTGAAATAGTTTTCCATCACATGTCTACAACCTCATACTGGATCAAATCAAAGATGTTTAGATTCATCGCTAAGTATGATATGTTAACACTAATGAATTGAAACATAACCGTTAATACTTCCAACTTTAATCAATTTGAATTATGATGTGATTCAGTGACCAACTCCCATTCTATTTGGATTCATTGTTGATTACACTTGAAATGTACAGAATTAGGATGAAATGAGCTGTCAAACAAGAATAGTATGCTCTGAAGAGTTGCTATTTATTATTATTGAACAAATTTAGATTATAATATGTGTCTGTTGAGTGTGTACATTATCATACAGAGTAAAGCTGTATAATTTCACATGTATATTTATTAAAAAAATGTTTAATTTGATGATAAATTTATTTACGAAAAAAATGTTTTGCTGAGTTTCATATATAAGTTTTTTTAATTTTTCGATAGAAACTATTTAAAGTATCACTATCATAGTAACCAGGTAAGAAAACTGGTCCATTCAAATGTTCAAATTTAAATTCTTAGATCGATTAAAATTTTGATTTACTCTCACTTGACGACTAAAACCTTTTGAATGAAGCTTCAAATTTTTATCTCATTTCATAAAAAAA